GCGCAGGAGGGGAAGACCCTCTATGAGATGGATTGATTCGGTGACTGGGGTAATAGGGATGGGTGTGTCAGAGGCGGTGCGGTTGGTGCAGGATAGAGCAGGGTTTAGAGCTGTTGTGCATAGGGTCGCTATGAGTCGGAAACGACTCGATGGCACATAACAACAACAGGCTCCTTGTAGTTCAATCACGTTTGTTTTCTTTATTTAGTAAGAAACCTGTCTGTCACTTAGCATTAATACACTTACTAACTGCATCAATCTTACCTAGATGTAACCAGTCTTTTATTACTGTGTTGCTTTGTGGAGACACAGTTCTCATACTGTTACAGTTCTGATCAACATTCAAGGTCACTGTTGAAGGCTTTTAAGGACAGCCTTGTCACACTGCTCCCATCTCAACATTCACACCAGACGACTGTCACCATAGGGGTCCTTGTCAAATGGTATGGGGTTGGCGCCCCACGCTTCTCACCCCAAACAGCCTCTTTGAATGGATGCTTATTGTGTTCAATTCCACCTGACAGCTTCTTGATTGAATAAGGAAGGGAAAACTAGAAAAGGCATGTAAGTAGTCAGTCAGGTGGGCGGGAAAGAAGGAAGGACAGAAAAAGGATGGGAGAATGGAAAGACAGAAGGGGAGAAGGAAATAACAACTCTGCATTTCTCTTAGTTCAAAGTGATTAGGAATTTGCATTTGGAGGATTAGTATCTGTTAATATCTCTAGCAATTCAGTTATACAACTATTTGTTGCATATCACTTTCTAAATTAACTCTGTATGTTAAGAATGTTTTTCTTTTGCCTGTATTTTAATTTCAAATATGTTCTGAACTTTTCATTTATTTTTACTATGCAAACAATTTATTTTTTACATAATTGAATTTAGCATTTTCTTTTCGATTGCTTTTAAATTCTGAGTCAGTGTAAGGGAATGTCTCACCCCCTCCTTTCTCATTCATTGCCTTGGTTGCTTTTCCATTGATCAAGTTTGACAGTTCTTGTGTTTTGGTGGAGAAAAAAACCTGACTTGATTTCTGTCTCCTCATACTTCCAGCAGAAGTCCAAGAGCTGGAATCACGCTTCCTGGTGCCTGGAGATTTATTAATTTTGACAGGGAACAAAGTACAAATGCCATGTGATGCCATTCTGATTGATGGCAGCTGTGTAGTGGATGAAGGCATGCTAACAGGTATGGTTTTAACTCCACGGCTAAGGTCTGTACCTTCCCTTTCAGATGATAACCCCCAGGTTCTCCAGCATCTCTGCAGGAATGACAAACACACACTGCCAAGTTCAGGGCCACTGTGAGCACCAGTTAAGAATATGTGGGATCGGGCTTTAGCAGGCTGGCTAGTCATAGACAAGATCTTTCTACTCCCCCAAGTTTAGCTAATAGTCCTTCTGTGGATCCATCTGGGAGTCTAAATGAAAGATACTTTCTGTGTAATCAGTTTGATATAATCATAACACTGTGCATATTTGGCATTGCTTTCTTGAAGGTGATTACAACCTGCTCATTTTACCTAAAAAGGTGTAGAAATGATTAGCTTCCTCAGAATCGCCTGTGATTTTGTTGCTTAGGATTTCCTTATGTGAAGTATGTCTTCAGATAATGTGGAAAGCTTGGAAACTATTAGGGACATCCTGAAACCCACACAAACTCAAGTCCAAGGTCTTCCTAGCCTGACTTGAAATTATTATTATTTTTTTAAATTATTATTAAATTTTATTAGTTTTAATGAACATTTGCAGAGATTTTGGGTTCTCATTCATTCATTGTTGCACTGTATCATTTTCATATCATGACACAGGACAGGATTGTTGTTGTTACGTGCTATCGAGTCGAGTACAACTTAGACTGATCCTATGAACAGCAGATCTGAACACTCCCCTATCCTGTGCCGTCCTCATAATCTCTGACATACTTGAGTCCATTGCTGAAGTCACTGTGTCAATCCATCATGTTGAAAATTGAGATCTCTCTTTCACTGACCTTCCATCTGACCAAGCATGATATCTCCCGAGGAATAGCTATGCCCAAACTTGTTAGATGAGGCTGCACCATCCTTGCCTTTAAGAACCACTCCAGCTTAACTTTTTTCAAGACGTATCTGTTTATTTACTTATTTTTTCAAAAAATTTTATTTTATACTGGTTTGTCTGTTCTTTTGGCAGTCCATTGTGCTTTCAGTGGTCTTCTCCAACACTAAAACTCAAAGGCATCATGACATTTTTCTGTTATCCTTACTCATTGTCTGTCCAGCTCTCAGATGCATAGTAAGTGATTGAAAAGACCATGATCTGGTGCACCTTAGTCTTTAAGCTGACATCATTGCTTGTCAGTAATTTGAAGAGGTCTCTGCCAGCAGATTTTCCTGATGCAACATATCTTTTGATTTCTTGACTGCTGTACCAAGAATGTTGACTGTGGATCTAAGCAAGATAAAATTGCTGACAATTTCAGTCTTTTATCCATCTATGATGTTGCTTATCAGTCTGGTGGGGAGATTTTTGTCTTCTTGATATTGAGATATAATCCATATTGGGCCAATTGTTAGCACCATAATTGATGAAGAAGAGATTGAGGTTGTTAACAATTTCAGCTTGTTCAGCTCCACAATCATCACTCGTGGTACCAGCATTCAGGAAATAAAAAGAAGAATTGCTTTGGAGAAGTCTGCTGTCAGGGACCTCTCCAGAGTGCTGAGGCTATGGTCTTCACAATTATATGCAATGAATCAGAGAACTGGACAATAACTAAGGACGACAGAAGAATTGATGCCTTTGAGTTGTGGTGCTGGAGAAGAGTGTTGAGCATACCATGGAGGTCTATCTTGGAGAGGGTGAAAGCAAGTTTCTCCTTGCAGGCAAAGTTTTTGAAGCTCCATATCACATACTTTGGCACATGGCCAGGGGGATCAGCCCTTGGAGAAGGACATTATGTTTGAAAGTGTGGATGGACAGCACAGGAGAGAGACTTCAGATGAGATGGATTGACCCAGTAACTGGAGTGTTGGGATTAGGCGTATCAGATTCAGTGAGACTGGCTCAAGACAGGGCAGATTTCAGAGCTGTTGTACATAGGGTTGCCATAAATTGCAAGTGAGTCAATGGCACATAACAACAACAGTCTATATTGAAGGCTGTAGTCTTTGATCTTCTGTAGTAAATGTTTCAAGTTCAGCAAATGTTTCAAGTCCTCTTCACTTTCAATAAGCAAAGTTGTGTCATTTACATAATACAGATTGTTGATGAGCCTTCCTCTGACCCTGATGTCACATTCTTCTTCATAGAGTCCAGCTTCTCAATTATTTGCTCAGCATACAGATTGTATAGGTCTGGAGAAAAGCTATAACACCAGCATATACCTTTCTTGATTTTAAAGAAGGCTATATCCTTGCAATAGGATAGTTAGGCATATTTCAAATAGCTCCCTAATTAAGACAGACTAGGAAGCAGGATGGGCCATTTACTTCCTAAATAAAAGGCTTTGGAAAACCCTATGAACACTAAAGAAAGAAGTTAGATATAGTAGTTGTAGAGTCCAGATTGGAAGTTAGTTGAAATGAGGATGTTAGGGAGCGTGGAAGGTCAGCAAAGGAGAAGAAGACCCTCAACCAGGTGGATTGACAAGGTGACTGCTGCAATGGGCTCTTGTGTCAGGAAGTGTGGGGATGGCACAGGACAGGACTAGGTTCAGATCTTTTGTTCACAGGGTCACTATGAGTTGTATTCAACTTGATGGCATCTAACAACATCTTTCTATCTTACCATATGTGGAGGCAAACATCTAAACCTAAGACCTGAGACAAGAAATGATGAAAAATAGACAATTTGAATTAAAAAAACAAAACAAAACAGAAAAGAACAAACCAAAACAAAACAATATTTAAGAGACTCTGGGGAGCTCTGGTGGCTTAATGGTAAGGAGTTGTGCTGCCAACCCAGACGCAACTAGGTTGAGTCCACCAGCTGCTCCTGTGCAATTTGCAACTTCTGAATATCTAGAGGATTAGTTATGAGTTGGTTCTCACTCCAATGCCCATAATAACACAGCAGCAGAGGATATGTGTGGCAAACTTAGGGGGAAGTACCAGTCTGAATAGCATGCCTAATGCATCTCATCATCTTGGTTTCTAAGAAGCACTTTTTCCTTTATTTCATCCGAGACAGATTTGTTTGCTCTTTTGGCAGTCCGTGGTATATTCTTCACCAGTACCACAACTCAAAGGCATCAATTATTTATATTTTTTAATCAATTCTTCTTCAGTCTTATTTATTTGACTCTGGAAAAGGAGTTTTAGAAAAGTGCTTAGTAAAGATGACCCACAAAAGAGAAAACTCCTCTTCCATGAGATGGATTGGCACAGTGACAGGAACAGAGATTGTACAGAGCAGGGATTGTGAGGATGGTGCAGGATCCGCCAGAGTTTCATGTTGCTGTAGTTACATCTGCTGTGAGTTAAGAGTCTACTTGACAGCCCTTAACAACATGAATGAATATTCCGATTAGGCTGAAGAAGAACAGGAAATAATCTCAATATGTTGTCTTCACAGCATAGATTTTTTTTAATCACTGTGCTGCTGCACATAGGCCAAAAGAATTTACAGAGGGTAGCAAAGAAATATTTTATGAAATTCATTGATATTCCTACATTTCACTAATCTCTGTTGGTTTTGATATGTGTCGTGGAGTTGAGTACAACTCATAGCAGCCTTAAGAACAAAAGATTGGAACCCTGTTCTATCCTGCACCATCCTCACACTTCCTGACACACAAGAGCCCACTGTGGCAGTCACTGTTATCAATTCTCCTGGATGAGGGTCTTCCTCTCTTTCGCTGGCTGTCCCTCTATGCTTCCCAACACCATGTCCTTCTCCAAGAAATAACACCTCCGGGCGCCAGACGGGGTTCCACCG